TGCAGGCCGCGCGGTCCTGCCCGCCGGCACGCGCCGAGCCCTCCCCGCGATGGTGCGCAGGCAGCTGCGGATGCTGTTGCTCTTGTTCCCGTGCGATATCCGCACTATTGCAGCCCTGGGGGAAACGGGCCCACGTTTCCCTCCCCAAGCAAATTAGAGGTGTGGCGGGGGGCTGGACACAAAAGCTTGGCTCGGCTCAGCTCGTGAGGGGCGCGGGCTGGCACAGAGGGGATGGGGCGAAGCTCTGGTGCGCCGAGGCTGCCGCTCCCCCCTCGCAGACACAGCTAAATGAGATCTGGTTTTGGCACAGGCTAATTTTCCCCATCGTGTTTTCTGCCTTTTCGTGGCGTTTTAATCCAGGCGGGTGAGGAGGGGAACTGAAATGGCTCTCGAACTGACTCTCAGGTGCCATTTGGGCCCTATCCTGCACCCAGCAAAGGTACCGGAACCCCCAAGCGATGGTGCTGGGGCCGCTGCACCGCACGAGGACCGGGACAGCCCCTTCCCACGCCAGACCCGGGGCCTGGCTGACTCTGTCCGTTGCGTGTTTTGATTTGCAAGCGCGTGGCCCCCGTGCTGTTGTATTTCATAGCTGAGCAGTTTGTTGCTTGGAGCTGGTGCTCCGCAGCAGCCGCGGGGGCTCTGGGCACACTGGGGGCCCGTCTGGCCTTTGCTGGGTTCAGGGGTTTGGCCCAAACTCCCCGCGTTCCCTCTGGCGCTGGCTGGGCTGGGGGCAGGAGCCCCCAGGGCTGCAGGCGAGGGCAGGACCAGGCCCCTGCCCCTCGTCTGGATGCCACCGCTGCTGCTGCCCCCTCCCCGCGGCGCCCGGGGAGCCGGACCCATGCGGGCGTTGGCGTACGGAGCTGTACATAAAGGTCTGCGGACGCAAGACGCTGCAGGAGCTTTTGACCGGTAACCAGGTAGTTTTGTACTGCACCATCCTGCCTCAGCGACGCCGACGTCTCGTGCAATAAACGATAAGCAGCTGCCGCTGTGTGCGTGTCCCTGGTCGCAGCATCACATGGGAGGGGGACAACCCGGGCAGCTCCTCAGCAGGGTCAGGCTGGGCGCGGGGTTCCTGCCTGGCATCCCACCCGGCTACAGCCGGCTCAGGACGCTTTACTGGAGCTGGCGCTGCTGGCTGTGACACCCGCCGTGGCGCTGGTGGCACATGGTGGGGTGCACATGACTGCTGGCTAGAGGCTGAGGGGAGTTTAGTAAAAAAAAAAAATAAAAATCCAACACAGGTTGACTAAAACCTGCTGTTCAGATCACCTGGCCAGCCTGCAGCCCGTGATTTTGCCATCACCTTGCTATGCAGCAGCTGCCTTGGTTGGTTCATTCTTTTGTGCTTTTTTGAGTTGTTTTTTTTTTTTTATTAATAGTACGTGTGTCATGCTCTGGGGGGGATCCTTGCCAAGTGTGGCCCAGTCCCTGCCCAGCCCCACCCCAGAAATGATCCACTCTGGTTTGCCTGGGGCTACCTGGAGCCCCAGGGCTGTAGGAGGTGGCAGGTGCCTCGGTGGCACCTTGTGCCCCCGACCCTGGCAGGGGACAGGACAGCAGGCTGCAGCCCCACCAGGGATGTCTGGAGAAGGGAGCTGACAGCCCAGGGCCCTCCCCAGGCCCACGGCAAAGCCGGGTCCTTTGCTGGCACCGAGCTGTGGGAGCTGCAAGAGCAGCCTCCTGCCCTCTGCGCCACCCCGAGAGGCACCAAGGTGCCACCGGCCTGTGCGAACGGGAGCCAGGTCAGAGATCCTCACGCCTGTGCTGAGTGACATTGGCTCATTGTGATGAATTAGTCCTGAAAAGTGCAAATACATGGGCACGTGGGGATGACGTGGTGTCTGATGGGCTGGGGGATGTCCTTCGCAGGGCAGTAGCATCACACAAAACCTCTCCTCCTCCCTGGAGCAGGAGCCCATCCCACCCCTCTGCTTCCACATCACAGGAGCCAGGAATAGAGTTTTTATCTTTTTTTGGGTTTTTTTTAAGTGGCAGGTAACAAAACAGCCAACCCCAGTCTATCACTGGCCAGCTAGAAAGGATAGCAAAATAATAAATTGTATTGGCCCTACAAAAGGACAGCTGGAAGAGACCCAGCAGCAGCCAAGGGGCTCCTTGCCTGTCCCCTGGGGTGCTGGGGGACCTCAGCACCTCCTCAGCTCAAACCCGAACTGATGCCAGTGCCAACAGCAGGGAGACGGGGTGCCAGGCTAACCCAGCACATGGGCCATGGCCTCAGCTGTTGGCCTGGAAGTCCTTGAAGGCACACTGGGGGAAGGAAGAGGCTGTGCTAAAAAACCCAACATCATCCCCCCCCCGGCCTTTACCTCTTCCCTGCCCAGCGCCGAGACCCAAACTGCCAGGCTGCGGCGAGGTCCCCCCAGGCACGTGCGGGGAGCAGAGGAAAGCAGAGCACTGACCCTCTCCACAGAAGAGCCCAGCATTGAAGTGATTTAGTTTACAAGATTTTTAATTTACAAATTAAAAAACTACACATTTTACTTTTTCTCCTTTTTCTCCTCTTTCTTGACATCGCTCTTCTCCTTGTCTTTCTCCTTCTCATCTTTTCTCTCCTTTTTACTTTCTTCTTTTTCCTGTCCTTCTTTCTTCTCTGCATCCCTGTTGGCAATCTTGTTGTTAATGAGGTTGTGCAGGGCAACCACGGAGCGGATAAGAGAAGCCAGATAAACTACCACCATCTGGTCATTGGTCTTCAGATAAAAGGCCTTGACAAACTCCTGCAGGTTGACATCCGGGAGCAGGTTGAAGACGTCCTGCAGGTGGTAGATGATCTGGTGGTTGATGGGGAGTTTGCCCATGGCTACTTTCTCAAGGTAGCTCCTGATGTCCAGAAGCTTGGAGTTCAGTCCCTTCAAGCCATGGACCTGATTTGTGATCCGCTGGGACAGAGTGCCCACCGTCGTGTCCTTGATGTCTCTGAAACACCCGCAACAGACTCGGCATTAGAACATTCCCTGACATTCTCATCAGCATATTCACCCCCACCATCTTTCCAGCCTAGAAAAGCCCTTTGAAGCACAGCTGAGGTACAACGGCAAGGAACGCTTCACGTCAAGGCATGAGAACAAACCGACAGACACTACAAAGTGTACCTAAAATAGATCACTGCTGTATCCTGTGGGGTGCGGCTGCGTATAGTATCTGTAACGCCAGTTAGAGGGACAGGGAGAAATAAAGGCCAGGATTTCCAACCGGTGAAGGGCACTGTGGTTTGTGCAGGGTGAAAGCTACTGCCCCCTCCCATCCCGCGCCGCGAGGCTCCGCAGCGCCGACAGGAGCACGCGCAGTTCCCCTCCCCTCAGCAGCGGGCACTCACGCTCTCACCAGCAGCGACTCCGCCGAGCGAGAGCTACAGGAGGATGCTCCCCTCGCTCCCTGCGCGGGCTGACCGAGGACCGCACCTCCCCCAGGAACCTGCCAGGTGGCTCCTGCCCGCTGCTACGCGCGGCTGGTAAGAGCCTCTCGTCTTAAAGACACTCACCGTAGCAAGTGCTCAACACCCACTTCCTCTGCCTCCTCGGCTCCGATCTCGCTAGTCACGTGCTCGAACGTCTTGGAGGTGGGAGTCCCGTCCTTGGGGGGCACAGGGGACACGGTCAGTGTGGGGCTGGCGGTGGGCACAGAGCTGTGCGCCAGCCGGCCGGGACACGGGGCACAGGGCATGGCACAGTGTCAACCAACACCTCTGCCCAGCATCAGGAAAGGGCAGTGGGGAAAATTATGGCAAAACAAGAGTTGGGGGGCACTGAAGCACATAGTGTGTGAGTGAATCACGATGCCTTCTAGAGTATGAGAAACTGTATTCATGAAACAAGCAAAGTAGTTATATACAGACAGTCCCCAAGAAATCCAAGAGGAAAGGCTCTAGTTGGATTTTTCTTGATTTAATTAGAGTTACCAGCTGTCACAAGCCCCTAGTTGCTAGCAATTTTCTCTCTCTTTTGCTCTGTGTAATACTCAATGTATTTTGCTGGTCTGCGTACTGATGGGTAGAATGGAAAGTCTCACTAAATATCTCAATCCTTTCTTTCTTTCCTGGGACACCTTATTACATTTTGGGATACCTTTTGTCATCCTGGTATTTGCTCTGAGTTGGAAGCAGAGAGGCAGTTTCAGAAAAAAATACTAACATGGAGCAATCTCATTAAAATTGTAATTTATGCACTAGATGTTAAAGAAGATGTTTACGAGGTTCACAGGCTGAATTTCTGAGCACAAGTTTCACCCCTGTGTTTTCAAAACCACTACCAGGACCAGTACACGGCTGTGAATGGAAAGCACCACTGGGACTATTGTGAATTCACAAAACGAAGAACAAATCCTGCAGATACAAGATCTACAATACTGGGAGCAGATTTTTTTCTCTGTAGTGAGGATCTCAGAAAGGCAAAGGCACTTTTTTATATACATCCAGAATATAATTTAACTCCACCAAACGAAAAGCTAAAGCTGACTTACTGACATTGTTTGTCTGCACGGTGCTGCAAGTGATTAGTAAGTGTTGCTCTGGCCCCACCTGCCTACTCCACACTGGCAGGTGCACAAAAGAATAAGCATGTAATTACTCAGAACACCTCTGCCAGCAGGCTGACGTGTAAAAGTGACATCTTAAAAGTGCTCCTATCTCTGATTTTCTTCACAGCCACAGACATGACAGAAACAGGTAAGAAGCCCCTAAATCATACAGACAGCTGGAGCAGTACACACAGCTTTTCTTCCCAGAGCACTGGTGGAGGAAAGCTTTAGTGACGGATGCTTACGTTACAACTGGGATTTAACTTCTGGGTTCAGCTTATTTTGGCTGGAAGTCACAAGCCCTCACTAGCCAGCGCAACATCCCGTATCTAAAAGGCAACTCCGTGCCATGGGACGTGCGTCCTTCAGAGAACAAGGCAATCCTAACGGCCGTCTTTTAACAGAAACCCTCTTCCTAGGAAAAGGCAGAGAGACATCGTAAAATACTCACATCATGAACTTCTTCAACCGAAATATAAGCTTCTGTGGGCAGCCCCAGGTCCTTTGGCTTCACATCAATAATCACCAACACCTCATTGAAAAAACAAACATTTCAGAAAAAGCAGGTTTCATTCAAAGAGTAGGAAAAAATCTCTAAGTGAGCATTTTACTCCACAGCGATGGCACGCTGGCTGCTCAGAGGTGTTAACTTCAGGCTCTGAAAAAAAAGACATCTAAGGGTGCTTCGAGGCTCTGACCTGAGTCCCTCGATCACTTTACAGCCGCCAGGTCTCTAACATGCTGCATCACCAGTAACAAAGGCGGGGGCCAAGGGTTCCCAGATCCCCCATTTAGGAAGAGAAAGGGGGGAAAAAAAAACCCAAACCAAAACAAGTACTGCACTTACAGAGTTAGGACAGTATCTTTTCATCAGTTCATTGATGGCGATGTCGTTCTTGTGCAGTTTAGGGCCTGTGTGGTACCAACCAACTATTCTTTCTCTAGCTGAGCAAAACCAGAAAGGATTCTAAATCAGAATCGTATGGTAAGACAACAGCAGAAAGATTTAGGCAGAGATTAAATTAGCAAATCAAGGGTGAAAATCTGATGCATGTAGAAGACGAGCATAAAGTAGGGGGAGATCAATTACAGTAGGCAAGACAGTGACATGGCTGGGGACAGTGCACTGATGGTACTTATCGTAGCTGACTACTCACATATGTGACTTTACACCTAGGTTCTTAACTAAACTGGACTATTTTGTATCATTTATTAATTTTTCAGATAGCAGGATGTGACAGCTTGAAACTCTGACATCTAGAGATGCAAGAACTCTAGAAATGCAAACTGTATCGTGAGAATGACAACTGGTCCCAGGGTGGGGAAAATTCATAGGAACTGAAGTTATGACTGAACATTTGGCTCTGAAGTCTCAAGCTGCGCAGCAAAGACACTTGTAAAAAAGGGGTGAAGAGCAATTAGAATCATTACTTACAAAATGCGAGTCT